TCTTATCTAAAAGTGTGCAATGCTCTGCTATTCTCCATGTGAGATCTGCAATCAATAACTAGTCCCTGCATAACTAAGAAACTAATATAGCATAAGGGTGCAACTCGGGCGGGTTGGACAATCAACCCTAGCCTAACTCTAGGTATTTAATCTTCAACCCTCACCCTACCTCGGGTTGGGAAACTCAACCCGAGCACTACCCGAGTTTTATTCGGGCAGGCTCAGGTTGATGATTTCGGGCTGATTGCAGATTACTTTACGAGTTCAATTCGGGTAGAGCCCAAAATAGGCTTGTTGTTCTAAACCTAATACATATATTCACCTAAATTAACAACCAAAAACTTCAACCAAGTTTTTAACGAGAGAGGCTGAGAGAACGATAGAACAAAAATAAAAAACTAGTGCTAATACTTTATATATATAATTTTTTTTTATTTGTCGGGTACGGGTTGAACTCGGGTTCACGAGGCCTTAAATCGAGCCCAACCCAAATTAAATTTGGGTTGAGATTTTTTGACCCAAGCCCAACCCAAGTATTAAAAACCCTTGCCCAAGCCCTAATTTTTTCAGGTTGGGCTCGGGTTGAAATCGGGCCCAACCCAAGTTGCACCCCTAATATAGCATATGGGAGTGAGGGTTTCTTTTCTATTCATAGTAAGAAACATTTGATGCATGATAAGGTTTGAAAGATCAATTGTGTGTCCCATTCCAAAGGCATATAAGAAGTAGGCCTACTTAGTATAAATATGATTTTTCTCAGCTTGGGGTAACAAGCTGTTTACTATTATTAAATTCAAAATTTGATACTTGTCTGTCAAATCCCCTTTCTTGATGTATTTATGTGACCTCCCCCAAACATAATATGGATTACCCGTCAACTTTATCCCAACATCAGTTAAATCAGGCAATTCAGTGTAAGGATATTACAGGTTGAGTGGTCTTTGCATGGGTTGAAAAAAATTGGCTATAGTAGCCGGTGTAACTTGAAAAATTATACCCCGAACAAACAAACGAAGTTGTCTTTCCCCAATAATTTCTACATTACTATAGAATTCACGGACCAAACAGTCATAAAGTAGGAGTAATAAACTTAACATAATCTAGCCATCCCTGTGCAACAAGAATTTGTCTAACTCCTATATTTTCAAAATCTTAAAAAATTACTAGTTGTTCAATAATGATAGTTTTGGAGATAAAATGAGCATCATACCATGCTTGTTGTTCAAAATTCTCAAACATCACATTATTGTAGATATTTTCTGGTTGGGGTTGCTGTGGAGGTGCTTCAGGTTGCAGAGGTTGATCTCATCTTGCTTGACTTGAAGAAACTCTCGTTCGATGCCTTGAATCCATCTTTTTTTGTTGATTTTTCTACACATACTTGGTTCCAACTTATTTCAATCAGTAGAAACCTTAAAAATGTAATGGGTAAGTGAATGATTGGAGAAAATTTGAAAAAAAAGGGTCAAGTGTAGCAGATTTGAGAAGAATTCTTCAAGAAACCCGCTGGTTTCGAATTCCAGTCTGTGAGGGAATGAGAACTGATCGGTTTTTCATGCAACTGGGTTTTATATCTGCACTGCCATCCGAATGCTAGCACCACCATCTGGATGGTGCTAGAATACTGGAATTTGCTTTGTAATATGCAAACTACTGACTTTCTGAAATTCTGCCTTCTTTAGTTTCCTGTAGTTACAAAATTTAATTACGAATTTAACTATTCCACATAACTTACTAATGACTATTTTTTTTCCCAAAAAATTGGTTTTATTAATTATTTATTTGTTATTTATTATTTACTGATTTTCCTAATTAATCTATAGCTATTTACATTTATGTACTATTCCAAAATTATACATCATTTGATCACACTTATTCAGAATCAGAGTCTTCCAAATCAACAAAATCAATGACACGGTTAACTTCACTTCTCACGTATCTTGTTAACATTGGAGTAGGATAGGATGGACTTAATCCACTGAAGATGATCTAATGCTCAACCTGAAATTGGTTCCGCACATTGATTATATTGTCTCAAATGCATTGTACGACCACATCTTACAAAACCTCCGAGACGATTTGCTCGTCGGTGTTTAGCAAATGTACTTTTTCCACACAAGGGACTTACTTGACTTTCAGAAATTTCTAAATTTCTAACTCTTCTAGCTTTTTGCATGATCAATGCATGTATATATTTTGGAAAATGGCAGGTAAAATTGTAAAATCCAGGTAAATTTGAATTTTTTTTGAAAAAGGGTAAAATGGTAATTTGCCACTATAATGTCAGTTTGAAATCAGTATTTTTCTAAAGCTCGGATGATGCAACAGACCTCATCGTTGGATTCATATCACAAAATTAAGTTACCACATCAATTTTCATCGAATTCTGAGATAGTTAGAATTTTACATGTTTCACGAGATAATTGGGTGATGAATGAACTTTTAAATGTCCCCAAAAATAGAAATTATAAAACTTTCTTATAATTGAATAAAATTTCAAATAAAACTAATTTGAACTGAAACCGAAATTTAATTAAGTCGTTTCAGGTTAAAAATGAACCTGAAAGTGATAAAAGTGCGGGACAATGTGGACCGCGCAATTAAATAGTATAAATAGGGGTGAAATATCTTAAAAATCAGATATTTCCTCACTCTTGTTCAGCACACCACACGTTGGAAGAGAGAAAAGAGAGAGAAGAGAGAAAAATTATTTTTCAAGACTTCTTCTTCTGATCTAAGAAGTTCCGTCGGTTGAAATTGCTTGATCCAAGAATTAAAGTTAGTCTACACGACGAGGGCTACACGTACGCACCAAGAACGAAGAGTTTCACCGAAGATCCAAGAGAAGGATTTTGGGGAAATCAAGGTTTTGGGGGCTAGAAGGGTATGTGGAGGCTTCTACTCTTATTTTTATGCTCCAAGAGGTAGGGGTTCTCCTACTTTGGTTCATTTCCTACCTAAAATGTTATATGTAATGTGTAGGTTATGGGAATATATGTAGGTCACTTACCTATGTATATGATATAGAGGAAATGAGTATGAAAAAGGAGTATTGAAATGAGTTAGAATAGACTTTCCTAACCTGAGATTGAGTGTGGTAATTACTTGATTGGTAATTCCATGGAAAAGTGATTTTATGGGCATGCTTTATGTTTAAATGATATGCCTTGTAAATGATGTGGGAAATGTTGTGACTTGATGGTATTTTGCATAAAATGCCTAAGTGGAACTTAAGTTGTTATAGCATGGACTATGTGTAACAAGCTTGTGAATTGTTGATATTGGTGATTATATGCATGTGATATAAATTGTCATAACACATGTTGAAATGTGTGGTTAAATTCAGCACATTGGCGTTCATTACATTAAGCATGACATTGTTATTGCAATGGTTCATAACATTGCATGTGTATGAAAACATCACATTCAAGAGCTTAGGCATGAGTGTGGGTGTATGTTGTACATGGTTGGATCAATCACCATACTTGGTGTTTTGATGGGTGGGCTGAGGAAAGTGGGGTTAAATATCCTACTGAATCGCACGGTTGCATACATGGAAAACTTGTGTCGGGTATAGCAAAAAGGGATAGATCCCCCATCGGGTGCAAGGCCCAGTTATTGGTTTATACACTTTTGACGGTGCAAGTCCAAAAAAGTGTATCGGTGTGTGGAGCCGACGGTGCAACACCAAAAGTCCACTACCTAAATAAAGACACATGGTTTTGGTTGTACAAATGATTCATTTGATGGGAGACATCCAGAAATGAATTGGTTTTTATGAATGCTTGAGTTTTGTTTCAAAATAATCTTTGGATGTACTTCATCAAGGATAAATGTTTTACACTTGCATTGCATGGTGTGGTGAGAGCCGGTGAAGGCTTGGGTTGATGTGTGTGAGTGAGTCTCATCTCAATTCATGGCATGACATGATAGATTGCAACATGAATTGCATATTCTTTCATTGGAATGTATATTGGTTGAGTGTTGTTGCATGTATACATTCATATGTACTTAGGTGGGGAGTAGCCTATGTAGGAAATGTTCTACTGGGCGTTGGCTCACCCTATACAGGAAACATTTCAGGTACGGGGCATATTCTAATGGATGACACACATTCGGGGCCTCAAAGGTGAAGAAGAGCCGAGTTGTGGCTCTTGAATCGAGTTTTATGTAAAATTTTTGGTTTAATTCCATTTTGGCATGTGAATTGTATGGAATGGGTTGTAATAGACTTGTATGAATCATGTATAATGTAGAAAATATCTTTATACATATTTGGAATGGATTTGGAAAGGTTTTGAGTGGATTGGAAATGAAAAACTGAAGAGGCATAAAATTCTGAGCAAAACCATCCAGAAGGTCACAACAACCTTCTGAAAGGTTAATGCAAACTTTTGGTCCAGCAGGCAAAACCTTCTGGAAGGTTGAAGAAAACCTTCTGGAAGGTTAATGTAAATTGTTATCCAGTAGACAAAACCTTCCAGAAGGTTTTTCAAAAATCTGAAATTTTAAGAATGCATTGCCATGCTTTTGGGCTATGAGTCCTTTGGCTCTAATGATATAAATGGACCTTAAATGAGATACATTGGGGTACATTGAACCTCGATGGGATTAAATGATTAGAGTAAACACTGATCCTCGTGTGGGTCATAATCCCGGTTACAGGGATGTGATAAACGTGATGTCAGGTTATGCGACAATCATGGGTATTTCTGCGGGTTGACGGGAGGTCAACGGGATCCCCGGTTTTAGGGGCGTCACAAAAATTAAACTTAACGAAAACAATTTCTTGTCCATTGTGCAATAATGTTTTGAAAATGTTTGAAAAATGACTCAATATTATTGAAAATTGACTCTCTATCCGGTTCTCTAACGTTTGCTAGTCACAAAGGCGAACAAATTTATAAAAACACTACAACACAGTTAATTTCCTCCCCCCCAACCTAAATAAAACATTATCTTGTTCCAACAGTCTGCCTTTACTTAACTTAACTTAATAGGGCGGAAGTTGTTTTTCGATCCGATCTCTCACTTGAAGAAAGAGAGCAGATCAGAACAGTGCTTTCGAACATCACTTATGATAATCTCGAAATCAAGGTTTCGAGTGCACAACTCTTCATAACAGCTCCTTCTACTAGTTTCCGTAGTACTACTTTGTGGGTTTCTGCGGGCGATTCTGTAACCGCAGGCAGCCCAGCCGACTTAATGATGGCCGCGCATGAGATCGCACGAGACCACTTCGATTATGAGTCGGGGGATGCGAACATAGCGGCCCTAAAATACCTTCTGCGCAATCTTAAAGGCGAAAAACCTCCATTTTGAGACCGCGACCATCGCGGAGCACTTTCTCACTGATTTAGTGAGATAAGTGTTACATTAACTGCATCGTAAGCTGCTATAGCTCTTGCCTACTACCCTGGAAATGAAAAAGAAACTCTATCCTCAACCCCTTCAATTCTTTCAAGGAAATGGACAAAATATTGAAAATAAAGATATGCGAATCAAGTGTGGAAGTAAGAAATAGTTATAATACCTGACCTAACAAACACCAAACAATTATTACTAATTAAACAATATATATTTTGTTTTCAGAGTATATAAACTAGATCAAAAAGTCGTACAGAAGTTACATATTGAGTGAATCCATCATAATAGGGTTTAAGTCTTGTACTGTTCACTTTAAAAACATTTCCAATTGGCGGATTCTTAATTTCATTTGCCCATAGTGAAAAACTTGTTGGACAATATAAGGACCTGTCCATCTAGATCTTAATTTTCTAGGAAATAAACGTAGCTTGGAATTATATTACAGAAATTTCTGAGAAGGTTCAAAAGATTTTCGCTTGATATTTTTTTCATGAAAAATTTTGGTTCTTGATTTAGCAATCTTTACATTTTCATATGTTTCATTTCTTAACTCTTCCAATTCATTAATTTGATGTTTACAAGCTACTCCAGCTTTATCCATATCAAAATTCATCATTTTGATTGTCCAATATGCTCGATATTGTAATTCTACAGGCAAGTGACATGATTTACCATAAACTAACCGATAAAGAGACATTCCCAAAATAGTTTTTTATATGTAGTACGGTAAGTCCAAAGCGAATCAGTAAATCTTAAGGATCAATCTTTACGATCTAGATTCACTGTTTTTTCTAAAATATATTTTATCTCCCTATTAGCTAATTCAACTTGTCTACTTTTCTAATGATGATACGGAGTTGATATTTTATGTGAAATCAAGTATTTTTGCAAAAGATTTTCAAAAATTTTATTACAAAAATGTGATCCACCATCACTAATAATGGTTTTAGGAATTCCAAATCTAGATAAAATATTTTTTTTTTAAAAACTTGACCACTGTTCTGTGATCATTATTTTTACATGGAATTGCTTCTACCCATTTAGAAACATAGTCAACTGCAACCAAAATGTACATATATCCAAAGGATGGGGGAAATAGACCCATAAAATTGTTGTCTCAACAATCAAAAATTTCAACAATTAAAATAGGGTTTAAAGGCATCATATTCTTTTTTGAAATGTTTCCTATTCTTTGACATCTATCGCAATTTAAACAAAAGATATGTAAATCTTTAAAAGTGTTGGCCAATAAAATTCACACTGCAAAATTTTAGCTGCGGTTTTCTTTGAAAAAAAATTACATTCACTAGTTTTAGAGTGACAAAACTGAATTACCTGACTTATTTCATGATTGGGTATACAACGTCTTGTTATATAATCTTTACAATATTTAAACAAGGAAGGATCATCCTAGAAAAAATTACGTACCTCGCTCAGAAACTAATTTCTATCAGACTAGGTATAATTACACGAAATAGTACCAGTGGCTAAATAATTGGCTATATCTGCATACCATGATACTTTTGTTATAGCAAACAGTTGTTCATCTGAAAAGGTTTTTCTAATTGGAATTGGTTCTTCCTTTATATCATAATTTAGCCTTGACAAGTGATTTGCTACCACATTTTTAACTCCTTTCTTATCCTTAATGATAAGATCAAATTCTTGAAGTAACAACATCCATCGTAGGAGACGTGGTATAACATCTTTATTAGTAAATAAATATTTTAAAGCTACATGATTTATAAATACAATAATTGACAATCCAACCAGATATGAACGAAATTTATCTAATACAAAAACAACAGCAAGTAGTTCTTTTTCTGTAGTTGAATAGTTCATTTGTGCATCATTTAAATTTTTGCTTGCATAGTAAATAACATAAGGTTTTTTATCTTTTCTTTGACCTAATACAACTCCTACTGCATAATCACTTGTATCACACATTAATTCAAAAGGTAAAGACCGTTCAGGATGTTGCATAATAGGTGCAAAAATAAGCATGTTTTTTAATTTATCAAATGCTAATTGACATGCATCATTCCATTCCATATATTATATTCTGATATTAAAGATTATAGATAGGTCCAGATATTGAACTAAAGTTTTTAATAAATCTTTTATAAAATCCTAAATGACCTAGAAAAGAATGAATGTCTTTATAGTTTTCGATGAATGAAGATTAGCTATTAAGTCAATTTTGAATTTATCGACTTCAATTCCTTTCTTAGAAACTATATGACCTAAAACAATAACTTGTGTAACCATTAAATGACATTTTTTCCAATTTAAAACAGGGTTTGTTTCTTCACATTGAATGAGTACTTTTTCAAGATTTTCTAAACATAAATGAAATGAATTACCATATACTAAAAAATTGTCCATAAAAACTTGTAGATATCGTTCTACCATATTACCAAATATACTTAACATACAATGCTGAAAGGTAGCTGGAGCATTACATAATCCAAAAGGCATCCTTTTATATGCAAAAGTACCAAAAGGGCATGTAAATGTAGTTGTTTATTGATCGTCGATTGCAATTTCAATCTGATTATAACCAGAATATCCATCTAAAAAATAATAATATGCATGACCAGCTATTCTTTCTAAAACTTGATCTAGAAAAGGTAATGGAAAGTGATCTTTTTTGGTTAGGGCATTTAGCTTTCAATAGTCAATACACACACGCCAACCTGTGACTGTACGCATAGGGGACTAATTTATTCTCTTAATTTTTTATTATAGTAACACCAGAATTTTTAGGGACAACTTGTGTAGGACTAACCCATCTACTATCAGATATATGATAGATAATATTAGCATCCAATAGTTTAAGTACTACAGTGCGAACTACTTCTTTTAAGTGTGGATTCAATCTTCTTTGCATTTGATGAGATGGTTTAGTGTCTTCTTCCAAATAGATACAATGAGTGCATAGGAGTGGACATATACCTTTTATATCTACTATTGTCCAACCAATAACACTTTGGTAATTTTTTAAAACTTTTGTCAATTATTTTTCTTGATTTTCAGATAATTTCGATGACATGATCATGGGATGAATTTCATCTTTTTCTAAAAAAAAATATATTTTAAATTAGTTGGGAGAATGGTGATTTGAGATGGCATAGGTAAGTCTTGTGATTTTTGTCACGGGTTAAGGTATGTCGTCTCGATTGTAAATAGTATGTTGTAGTTTGTATTTTATGTTAGGTTTCCTAATTTTTATGATATTTTATTGAATGCCCCAAATTTTGAACATGTGTGCGAGATTTGTGATGAGTATGATAACATCACTAGTGAGTGCCCATTAAATTATACAGTTCAAGACTTTGCATATGAAGGATCAATTTCAATATTGGCCCCCAAAAACTTTTATCCCCGACCATTTTGTTGCATCGAGTTATCTGAGTTATGGTTAGGAGAACGAACCTTATAATTTGTCATCTGATCTCATACCACTAAATGAATTTTGTCACTATCCAACACATGAGGACTCAACCGAACAAGAATTGAAAAATACTCTTTGCGAGTTTATGCAATACCAAATGGAAGTCAATGCCCAAGTAATCCAATAATTTTAAAAAATTACAGATGACCTTATTGCATTGACTAATGCTATAATTGCTATGCATGAACAACAACATCTTAAGCATAGTCAATGTATTGAGGATGATCATTTCTAGAGAATTCAAATTGATGTGGAATCTCCCACCACTCTTGATTATGAAAAATTTAATGAAGTTATAATATCACGTGAAGCTAATAAGCCCAAGGTCAATTTGCCAACAAATAGTTGTGTTGAGAACCACAATTTCAACTTGGGGGGGGGGCATTAAAATGGAGGTAAGTGGAGAAAATTATAAAGAGAAATTGTATACTCCATTGTTAGAATTGCATAAACTTGTGTGCACCTTTGTTTTGTTGAGAATTTTTAATCATTATCTTTTGTATTGTTAGATAGACTGGTTAGGAAAGGCATTTATACACCAAAAAAATTTTAAAATCAAAAAAATCAATGGGCTCAAGCTCATATCTGAATTGAAGCCGGATTGACATGAGTTATTTTTTGTTTTGTTTTAATGTACATAGTAGTTATATTTATTTTATTGTTATATTTTATTTTCATGATGTTGTAATGTAGATTTTAGCATGAAGTTGTTTACCTCTCCCTAATTTGTACTCAATTCTTTTTGAGCATCATCGTAACAAATCTTATTCAGTATCATGTTCGAGTCTAAGTTGGGGGGTTTAAACAAGTTTTTTTGTGTTTTATTTTCCCTTCAATGTTTATACTTAAAACAAAGGGAAAAAGAGAAAAAAAGAAAAAGAAAAAAGGGAGTATCTCATTTCTCATGTTACTTTCGTTTTTCTCATTGCATAATTTCTTATGCATTGAGAACAATTCATGGTTCAAGATGGGGGTGAGGTGCACCATTTATATGTTCCACCACTTTTTGTATAGAATAGTTGAAAATGTTAAAATTTTGAATTGTTTTTTTTGAAAATTTGAACTTTTTTTGTGGAAAATATCTAATGTTGAACTATATTCCCCTATCCTAATTGTTATGGGATTTGTGATTGCTTGATCTTCACTTTAAACTTTGAACACCTGAGTACACCACAAAAGTTTATCCTATGCTTGAGTATCACATAAGTGTTTTCTTTCGAACTCAACGATAGTGCACCTTGAATGTGTAATTTTGGTAATTTACTGATTGGATCCACATTTTAGAGCTTGACATACTTGGTGGAGATGAAGTAAGCACCCATATTAGCTTTAGTACTGATTCTTATTGGAAGGAACTTACATTTACTCAAAGGAACAATTTTTCAAATTTAAAATCTGTTCAATAATCTCATTATGCTTGCTTTGGTTAGAATGCATGTGGATAGTTGATTGACTTCGTCTTAAAATGCCAATATGGCTTCTCATGATTATCTAGAGATGA